AAAAAGAAAAAGAAAAAGAAAAAGAAAAAGAAAAAGAAAAAGAAAAAGAAAAAGAAAAAGAAAAAGAAACAAAGGTGACTTGATGGCAATCTGCAGACTACAAGACACACCCCATGACTGAAACACTGAGATGTTGAACAATATTGAATTTTGTAATGCAACAAAGCCCATCTCTATCTCATAGGAAAGAAAGGTTCAACTCCACAGGTAGGGAACCACACTGGGACTTAAGAGATTCAACCTGAATTCCCAGAGGAGTCCTGTAATATGGAAAGCAGTTTCCTATTTTGTAGGGAAGTATTCATAAGGGTAAATATATGAGAATAATTCCAAGTTGCCTCAATAYTGGGGTTGATACAGGACTTATGAGCAGGTCTGAGTTCTACAGCACAAACAGTCAGAGTTTTAAAAAGTTACTTTACTGGAAATGTGTTAGTGATCTTATACCAACACTACAGAGCCATGCTTTTCCAAAATCTAAGCTCTGTAAATCCACAACATCAAACAGATTCACTGATACAACACGATCAGAAGCAAAAATCACCAGAAACTTTCCAAGAGACAGCACTTCTCACACAGTGTGAGCTGAATGTCTCCAAAACACTCCAGGGCAGTGAAGTGGGSTGAGGATGGGCAGATACCCCAAAATTTTAACCTCCCAGACCGAGGTCACTCTGTATGTGCCACGTGGAGCACACCAAAATAAAGGCAGAAAAAGCCACCTGAAAAAGAGAAAGAGACTACTSAAAGAGTCTCTTTTTTCAGAGAATGTTACTACTGAAAAGGAAGCTGCTRGTTTCTAGATGTGTTGTTTGCCTACTTGTGAACTTCTTTGAAAAAGTGCATTTGCCTTTTGTAGATCCACTGTCAGGTTTAAAGAAAACCAAGCTATTAAAGCATTCCYTCATAAAATCCTTGTTGATGCACCCTACTGCACACGGCATGGGATAGCTACATTGGGAGAAAGTTGATTAACTCATTACTGCAGTGCTCTAGCAGACTTTAATGAGGAAATGCGGAAAAATTTTCCTGCAAAATCCCTGTGTTTTCCTGATCTTAAGCGGGGAAATAGCTGTAAGACTTTTTTTGGTCATTATTGTAATACACATCAGTAAAATAAGAGAATTGGCAATAYATAATTATTAAAGTTCCATTGTAATAGCATCCTAATGCTGTGATTATTTTTACTGTTTCTCTGATGGAAAACCCAAATTTTTCTAAACACAACTGAGTTATTTAATCTGGCAATGGYCACCTTAGAATCAGCTCTCATTTTTCCAGCTAGAAATCCCTTTGCCAAGTAAAAATGAACCTGTCAATGAGAGATGCAAAACATTTCTGCCATGGCTATAGAGTAAAATCTCCCTTCCTCACCTCTTTCTTCTTCTCCTGCAACTCTGATTATCCTTTCAATTGGAATTTTTGTGCACATCATAGCATTTATTTAAGTGCTAAAATACAGTTAGAATGTGCTCAGTTACATCCAGAGAGCCACAAATGGGCAACAMCACATAAAAAGCTGAGA